AACAGTCTCTGCGCGGCGCCAATCGCGCCTATATACGCCGATCGACGCATTCTATAAAGTACCTGTTAAATTGAGAATTACCTAGCACCCGCGAGTACGAAGTAACTACTTATACCTACGCAGGTAACCCGCATAACTTGTAAACAAGTGCAGATGTCATTGCACTTTTTCCCTTATGCCGCACTACATAAGGTTCATTTTAGAATCAGCCGCATTATTCGACCTCTATCGCGACCCGTGGTGCTTGGCACATTCGATCTCTAGCACTTTCGCGGTTCTGCTTCGAGAGCATTTGTGACATTACAAACTATCTCTGTACCAAATTTCTGAATCTGTTCAGTGGTTTCGGCGTAAAGAGGAAAGAGACAGACAGACACACTTTCTAATTTATAACATAAAGTTTGTATAGTATGGTTAGCAGTGAGCTTAACGAACATTTGCAGTGTGAACGCAACTTAGATAAATTCATTAATTATTTTGTGTTACTAATACACCAGGCCTATTTGCTAACTGCTTCTGACAGATGGAAGTTAAAATCACCGTGCTATTTAGTTATCCACAACTGTTTTATTATAACGCCACTAAGACACTTGTTCTGAAAAGCATCGATAGATATGCAACTGGCATCCAATGAGTTATGTGCTTTCTATATTGAAATCAAAGTAAAAAAAAACTCCGTAAACTATTAATAAATATTATTAATATGTATTTCTATAAAAATATACTTATATATGTACAGTATATGTATTCTACCCGTTACCCTAGTATCCCATAACTCAAGCCTTATAGTGCTTACTTTGGGGCTAGGCTAATTGGTGTGAGTGTTAGAAATATTTATTTATTTTGTGGCGGCGACATCTATATGCCCCACATATATACAACGGATGGAGGAAATCATTACTCACCTCCACAAGAGATGGCGTTACCTGCACTGCGATCATAATAGTATGGAAGCCTACATCGCGCAAATGAAATTCGGAGGCTAACTCTTCATATATACGATGTCCGACCAGCATCAATCGGGCCGCGGCCCCCGAGCTAACATCACCCAGCTTGGAGGAAGATCCTTCCCTTTGGCCTTCCTAGAATTTATTATCATAATTTTTAATCATAAAATTATACTGAGTAGAAGTCGAAAAAACGTAACGGTATGTTTGAATGAAATTTTATTAGTCTAGCTACTTTAGTGATTGACAAAAAACTTGTTATCGACTGTCACATGTTAGTGTGTTTGAATCTCGTCACGGTATATGCTCGTTGTATTTCAGCGGCGGCTGTATCTCTCTTTCCGTTTTTATTGAGTGTCATATGTATAGTATGATTCTTGACTAAGATTAAGTGGTACATTCATACATAACACCATATGAACTTTCTAGTTTGGCTGAAGATGACAATTAATATTTTTTATGTAAAATATTAGTTTTAAATAAGATATTATTAGTTCAGTACCTATGTATATTTTATTTATTAGATAATAAAGTGACATTCCAATAACAAGCGTAACTAAGTAACGTCATCACAGTCCAAAGAGAATATATATGACAATGAGCCTTAGTGTAAATAGTCTAAAAAAAGTGGTGCAGCTATTTTACTGTATGGGATTGCGATATGAGGTATAGCATTACTTATAGCATTAAAAAGGTGTCTTTTTTTTATAGATAGGTCCGACAAATGACTCCACCCCACCTGATGTTAAGTAGAAGGTGTAGTCCAGACGCGAAGATAGCTGAAACAGCAGTTCTAGCTGCCACACCAGCCATCCTCACCCTGCCGGCCTGCATGTTGCTTCTTCACGCCTCTTTTAAAGGATCCCAGGTTGTAAGAGGGAGGGAAAAGGTGAGCGGGCAGAGCATTCCATTTACGGATAGTGCGACAAAGAAATGAGTCACCAAATTTCTTTGTATGCGTTGGAATTGTAGCCACACTTAGACGGTGACAACGTAAGCCAGCGCGCGTGGTCCTCTGAAGGAAGGGGAAGGTGGAATAAGCGAGAATAACTCCTCAGAACACTCGCCGTGGTACAGACCATAGAACGCGCTTAGTGACGCCACGTCACGGCGTAATTGAAGAGGCTCAAGGTGTCTAGTCACCTCCTCATCGCCTTAAACATCGAGCAAGTACTTGGCGGAGCCATCCCAGAGGTGCGAGCAATATTCCACGCAAGACCGTATCTGCGTTTTATAAAATCTATATAGATATAGACCTGCGTCGTATCAGGGTTATTTGCAGGTTGCACCTGACGTCTCTCATGTAAACAATTGTTTAGGGGCGTTGGTTTATTAACAGTACCATCATTATACATTTATGAGATTTCTAATTAAACATAAAAAATTGCTTATTATGGCGGGTACAATTCCTATATTGTAGATTGAAAGGAGACCCCTACAGCATAGTTTTGGATCATGTTGCAAAATCGATTTATTACAGCAAAAGTAGTCCCAGCATGTATGTTCATATTTATAACAACATACTTAAAGAAATAAAGCGGCTTTATAATAAACGATTTTTCTAGAAAAAGTTTTATTTATGACATTGTGAAAATACGATTTACAGGATAAAAGAATTTCATGTCCATAAATATTAGGATTTGAGTGCCTATATTGACTAAGGCTTTGTTTACATGCTACAATAATTTAGCAAAATATGTGCAGTTTATATGTTTTACGCAAATAAATCAAAATTATTATTATTATAAATTTTATCACAATCATGCTTATTTACGTTCTGTTTTTCGAATACGATATAAAGAGTATTTATTGCTCGTGAAGTATTTTTCCTTTAAAACACTAAACCTAGCCCAGCCAACGTTTTAAGAAGATTTACACTGATTGAGATTAAGAGAAAGAAGAAAACATTGTGGCATTTTGCCCGAAATTGGCGCCATTGTCTCGATTTAGGGACTCCTCTTGACTCAACCCCAGAACGATCGGTATTGGAATTAAAAGTTAAATTAACATTGATATAGCATTGAAGATATTAAAAATCCAAATGTTCGATTGCAATTAACTTTCTTTTTGTTTCTTTTTCTGAGGAGCTCGATGGCGCAGGTGGCTGGCGCGTTCGGCTGCGATCGTTGAAGTTAAGCAACTTTCGCAGTGATCGGTCATTGGATGGGTGACCAAAAATTTACTATCTCGAGCTCCTCCGTGCTTCGGAAGGTACGTTAAGCCGTTGGTCCCGGCTGCATTTGCAGTCGTTAGCACCCACCAATCCGCACTGGACCCGCGTGGTGGGTCATGGCCCAATCTCCCTATTCCATCCATAGGGAAGGCCTGTGCCCCAGCAGTGGGGACATTAATAGGCTGATGATGATGATGATGATTTGTTTCTTTTTACATCCTATGCAAATCTATTATTTAATGTATATCTATAAACTCAAATCGGATCGGGCTGAAATTTGGCATGCAGGTAGATGTTATGACGCAGGCATCCGCTAAGAAAGGATTTTGATCAATTCTATTCCCAAGGGGATAAAAAAGGGAATGAAAGTTTGTATGAAACTTTGTCAATTTTAAACCGATCGGGCTGAGACTTTGCATGCAGGTATAAGAAGAATCATAGATGAATGTCATTGTGTATAATACAAGCCTGAGAACAAACTCAACTGTAGTCAACACTTCAGCTCTACACCGAAGCGAAGCGAGGGCGGGCCGCTAGTGTGTAATTAAAGTAAAATCTTCTCTGAGCATCTTAGGAATTTTTAGGATTGGATAAAAGCCGTGAATTCACGCGAATTTCGCAGGAAACAGAATACTATGTATATGTACTGATCATTTTCTTTTATACAAATCCCATCATTAAATTACATGTAATTAGGGAAAGAAATATATTTAAATGATCAAAAATAATTTTAATTGATCCTAAAAAAATACATTTAGTAACCTAACTTGACCTTTAGGTTCATCATCATCATCATCATCGGCCTATTAATGTCCCCACTGCTGGGGCCCAGGTCTTCCCTATGGATAGAATAGGGAGATTGGGCCATGAACCACCACGCGGGCCCAGTGCGGATTGGCGGGTGCTAACGACTGCAGATGCAACCGGGACCAACGGCTTAACGTGCCTTCCAAAGCACGGAGGAGCTCAAGATAGTAAATTTTTGGTCACCCATCCAATGACCGACCACTGCGAAAGTTGCTTAACTTCAAGGATCGCAGCCGAACGCGCTAACCAGTTGCGCCATCGAGCTCCTCACCTTTAGGATACCGATCGTATTTTTAAGGTGATCTTTCATTATTATTTGAGGATCATTTAAATATTTCCCTTAGGGTCGTCACCTCCTTCTAATAGAAAACCACAGAGAATTAACAACACCAAAGGAGACCCGGCACTTTTCATAGAAAAAATGCTAAACTTGTATACAGTTGAATTTGGTCTCAAAATAAAGCCAAAATTATTTGCTACATAAAACTACTTTTGCCTTATTTTTAGTGAATCGTTCAAAGAAGTTATTTAATGATTAATATTTTTTGATATAGAAACCCTTTTGATGACAAACCTACGTATTTGACATTGACAGCTAGCTGCTGATGATAAATATTGCCAGACTACGGTACCCAATTATGAAACACAGATAAAAAAAATAAAAAAGTATACAACTTTGGCACAAAATGCCGGGTGTCCTTTTATTGTGTGATTTGATGCTAAGATTCCAGGGCTCGAGGAACGACAAAATATTTCAGTTCAGCAAAATAAAATATTCGCTTATTCGGGACATTTTTTTCCTATCTTAGCAGCCGGCCTCGAATTTGTTAAGTCTAGGCCCCATTCTTAGAAACTTTTACGGAAATTGACAGCACCTTTATCACGTTGAATCAAGAGCGACATTATTTGTGGGTAGGTACGGTAACTGTCATTGCTTCGACTGTCAAAGCGAGATAACGAAGGGATTACCGATAGGCAGATAAGTCTGTGTTTTATTAACGAAAATAATTCATCAAAGCGCCGCGGAAGGGGGGGAGGGGGGTCTACTAAATTGAATATTCGCGTTTAACGCGATGTCGTTATCGCTAAGTAAACAGCCACCCTATTGATTGTTGATTGATTTAATTATCGGAATAAAACGAAACAGCGACCGAAAGAGCGGCAGAGCGGTTGTTACCTATATCGAATCATTCACACATCGAATCATTCTCTGATCTGTTTAGTTTAATCGAATAACTTGTAATTCTGAATCAAAGGGTTTTATTCGCAAGTACCTATGCTGATTATTAGCGGTGGGTCGTTCTCAAAGGAGACCCGGCACTTTTCATAGAAAAAATGATAAACTTGTATACAGTTGAATTTGGTCTCAAAATAAAGCCAAAATTATTTGCTACATAAAACTACTTTTGCCTTATATTTAGTGAATCGTGGAAAGAAGTTATTTAATGATTAATATTTTTTGATATGGAAACCCTAAATCTTCAAGGGACAGAATTTTAGTTCAAAATATTACTCAAGTGACTGTAAAAACCATGATTCCTTTGCTTTTTCTAAATAAAAAACCAAATGTCAATTTAACAATCCTAAAATACAAACAAAAAAATCATTCGCATTTCGCATCCGCTCCCGCGTACTGTGATTGTGAATGTTCTCTGCTGTGATTGCCTTTTTATCCGTTATTTCTCTTGACGACCCGGCTACATATAGAGGTTATATTGACAAACCTACGTATTTAACATTGACAGCTAGCTGCTGATGACAAATATTGCCAGACTACGTTACCCAATTATGAAACACAGATAAAAAAATTAAAAAAGTATACAACTTTGGCACAAAATGCCGGGTGTCCTTTCTGACGACGAAACGCAACCGTTTTCTCTTAAACGAAAACTAGTCCTCGAAACGGTTCTCGTTCGCAACTGGTTGCGGCTGGGTGACGCAACGAAACGACACGCGACGACGTTGCGGCTGGGTGACGCGACGACGTTGCGGCTAGGTGACGCGACGACGTTGCGGCTGGGTGATGCGACGACGTTGCGGCTGGGTGACGCGACGACGTTGCGGCTGGGTGACGCGACGACGTTGCGGCTGGGTGACGCGACGACGTTGTGGCTGGGTGACGCGACGACGTTGCGGCTGGGTGACGCGACGACGTTGCGGCTGGGTGACGCGACGACGTTGCGGCTGGGTGACGCGACGACGTTGCGGCTGGGTGACGCGACGACGTTGCGGCTGGGTGACGCGACGACGTTGCGGCTGGGTGACGCGACGACGTTGCGGCTGGGTGACGCGACGAAACATCGAAATAAATGTAGTGTTATACGATAATCGACTTTAAATGTTCCATAATAAAGATTATATTACTGTAAAATCAAAGCTGAATTATCATAGAACGAAACGGCCTCATAACATTGCGTTCTATTATAGACTGTATTTACTTCGTTATAAAGTACATATTGGCGTGCAGACAATCCGAGGACTAGTTGTTCGACGGATACTGTTTTGATCCGAAACGTAAAACGGTTCTATCGTCGCTGAACACAAAACGGTCCTTGAAACCGGTTCGTCTTTGGAACGCTCACACCTATTGATTATTGAACTTGCGCGTATTATTTGGTACACGTAAATCCAATTATAAATTTTCTACATACCTATATATTATAAAAAAACCGTTTTTTTACATACCAGCAAGATTTGGAACCAACTTCCCTCTGTGGTATTCTCTTTTAGCTATGTTAAGGTGGTTTTCAAAAGTCAAATAAACCGTAGTTTCCATGGTGTTGCAGGCCCCCATGGGCGGCCGTGGCCACTTACTTACCATCAGGTGAACTGCCAGCTAATTGGCTGCACAAACATAAAAAAATAAGTTCCTACAAACCGAGTCTTGGATGAATACATATTAATTAAGCCTCTGCTATCAGAGGGGTGCACGTAATCATAAAGGAAAAAGATACTTCAGTGCTTACTTTGGGGCTAGGCTGATTTGCGTAGTATTAAAAATATTTGTTGATTTAAAATAAAAAGATATGTATTTGTTTCTTAGGTTTTCACGCACATCACTCATTAAATAAAACTAGTTTTTAAGGGTTAATGCACGAAACTTTATTATTTATTCACGTTTCGCAGCCTTTTCAGGTCTGCATCGTCAGAATAATGAATGATTATTCATTCAGTCAGATTCATTATTCTGACGATGCAGACCTGAAAAGGCTGCGAAACGTCAATAAATAATAAAGTTTCGTGCATTAACCCTTAAAAACTAGTTTTATTTAAAAATATATAGTTATGTTTTTTTTAAGCGTTCACCTGCTAAATGGTTAAATCTAAAGAAAAGTTTTTACTAGAAAAATTCCACGCGGACCAGGCAGCGGACTTAACATCTAGCAGTTAAATGCTTAAAAAATAAATAAAAAAACATAACTATAATTGCTATTTCTTCTTTCAAATGTATATTATACTTGACAAAGTATTCATTTGATATTGTGGGTTAGGTACTTACAATGCGAAGAGATAGCGCTGCCTTGCAGCTTAAGGCTAGGAAAATTTCGACGCGGCCATCAGGGCCGTGGTAGCATAATTGTTCAGTGCATTCACCCGGATTGCGAAGGGTGCGGGTTCGAGTCCCGTCCGCTGCCTGGTCCGCGTGGATTTTTTTCTAGTAAAAATTTTTCTTTAAATAGATATATTTCAATAAAAACACTTTTTAAATTTCACATAACAAAAATACAAAGAAAGAAAATTATAAATAAAAAACCGGCCAGTTGCGATTCGGACTTGCACACGAAGAGATCATTAACATTACCCATTGACACTTTACCTAATTCATTACTACATCTTACTATGTTTCTGATTCGCTTTGAATTATAAATTTATTCATCGTCGAAACATAGATTGCGGTGTAAACATTCTAAGCCTCCTCAAAGAAAGCTTCAATTTGATAGTTTATCGTTCAAATTAAGTATAACCTTAAATTGACGAAATTAAATTTCGTTTGAACTTCGTCATCGAAAGTTCATTTCGGTGAAAGAGAGTAGACCCTCAGTGACAAGATCGGAATAAACCAATCTCACTTTTAAAGTAAGCTCTCTCCGTCTGAAGCAAAGGAAATAAGTAAAAAGCTTTTAAGCCTAATCTTCCGCTAGGTCAAAGGATACGGCCTAAATTGGCTTAGCCCGTTCAAAGATACACAGGGAACACGACTCTTATTACACATACACAAGGAACACGACTTAATACTACATTATAACAGCAGATAACAAAAGAAAACGAATAAGACGTTTATTTAGTCTAGGCTGTTACAAGCACTTGTGAATGTCGAAAAGTTACGTCATAGGTTCGCAAATTTACGGCGGGAGACCTTGTACTGAGAAGAACCGGCAAAAAACTCAAAAGGTTTTATTTCATACAGTGTCGTCCAATTGAAGGTTGACATCAAACTTGCAAACATGTGTTGAGGTCAACTTCCATCACATAATGTCAAATATGTAACAATAGACAATCAACGAGTTTACTAACAATAAGTGCAAAGAAAAGTCCCAAAATAGCAAGAAACAATTTTCAAAACAAAATGAACAAGTATATGAAAGGGAGTAAGTGCAAGGTTCTCTTCAAAACTCTTTCTAAGGCTGGGAGCCTTAGTTATAATATAACTTTTGAAAAATTATCTGCAGGTAAAATTACAACCAAGCCGTTTTATCATTCAAATATTGATTGACCGTATAATATCTTAATGTGTATTTTAAATTTATGAGGAGGCAAATCAAGGATATCAATAGGAATCTTATTATAGAAATGTATACCTTGACCCATAAATGATTTATGAACCTTCTGTAACCTGTAATTTGGTATCTTGAGTTTATTTTTATCATCAACATCATCAGCAACTTAGACAGCCCTTGCTGAGTTTCTTGCCGGTTCTTCTCAGTACGAGGTCTTCCGCTGTAGATTTACGAACCGACGTAGCGTTTGACTTTCACAAGAGCTTGTTACAACAGCCTAGACTGAATAAATGAGTTTGAGTTTTGAGCGGTGATGACGGGGCTGAGTAAACGAAATTGTATTTAGGCCGTCAGTAAGAATTATCAAAAAAATATGGGTGCGTGTATTTAAGTACGCGCGTGAGAAGTTATACTTCTTTTTGGAATTATTAAAAAAAAGTTTTTAATTGCATGCAGATAATTAATTACAATAAGATAATAAAAGGATTGGAAAAGGATAGTCAACGCAGTCAATAAAGTTCAGTTTTAATTTGAAAAATTTAATAAACAATTAAAATATTCAATCACTACTGAATTTAAGTTATTAGTCCATATGTAATTAGCACTTGTAAGTAACTAAAACACGTTGTGTCTATATAGAACTAGAACTAGAAACATGTGGATAAATATTATAAATATGAAAACAGTGATCAGAGGCGACGAGCGTGCCAACATTGTTTTTGACAACGCGATCATCTTATGGAGCTCCGTGGATCGTTCAAAGTACCTTTCGAACAGATGTCATAACGCGCCCGCGGCCAACTTCATGGTGTTACTATTGTGTTACAGTGATGCGCGCGCATCTCGAAATTTCACTCACATGATTTTTTCATAACGCGCCCGCGGCTAACTTCATTATGTTACTTTTGTGTTACAGTGATGCGCGCGCATCTTAAAATTTCACTCTCATAATTTTTTCATAACGCGGCTTAAGAAGTATAACTTCAAAAATAATGGATATTTTTTTTTGTCAGTAAGGCAAAAATCCAAAGATAAAGTGCGTCAAAGTTTAGTAGTGGGGGCTCGCGACGTCGCTTCTAAGTTGAAATTATTCCAAGACATGACTTCATGCGCCATTTCAAATCAATATATTTCTGTGATGTTTTGATTACGTGAATAAAGAAAAAGTACGTGTCTAATACTTTTTGATAATCTACCAGATAGATGAAGAAAATAAGTAAATTATCATCCCTATTGACGTGTCTGTGTTCAGTTCTGACCAGTCAACTAAATGGGTTGATAAAGTGGTATTAATGATTTGCACCAAAATGAGGTCCAAAGATTAGCAAATTAAGTCTGAAGTCTGCACTTGGTGTCGGATCACCTGAAGTAAGTTTGTAGACAGTGGATAAGCCTGTTGTTAGGATCGTAATGAATGAAATGAATTTAGTATACTCTTTTTAAATGTACCTATAATAATAATAATAAATATTTCCAACACACACCAATTAGCCTAGCCCCAAAGTAAGCACTATAAGGCTTGTGTTATGGGATACTAGGGTAACGGATAGAATACATATACTGTACATATTTAAGTATATTTATATAGAAAATACATATTAAACATCCATGACTGGAGTACAAATGCTCGTATTCATCACACAAACATCTGCCTCCACCGGGATTTCAACCCGGGACCTCTCGAGTCATGTTGTGTTTGATGTTTGTAGTGTCAGAAAATATAATGATTTCGTTGAATTTATTTTAATTTCACAAATTAGCATTACATATAAGTAAATACACGATAAAAAGTTCACCTGTCCAATAAAAAAAATAGCTAAAATTCTTCCATCAAAAATGAGATTGCATTTTTGATCTCATTTATTCGGATTTTTGACAAATGTCAAATATCTAATACTAGTTGCTTCGAGTTAAGCTATTAAAAATATATATTTTCAGCTCTTTTAAATCCTACACAATATTTTTATCGGAATTGACTATTCAAAACCATATTTCAGTTTGCGCAAAAAAAGACTGCTAGCAGTATACATGAAACCATTCACGCGTTTCGGTGCAAATGGGAAATTCATCGGATTGATTGGATTGGATTAATACAATTTGGATTCGTGATCCCTTTACGATGAAAAATTTATATAGTGCAGCGAAAACTGCAGCGCGTTGCCCTTGGGAAATACTGCGACTGACCGAGCCACCTGACCAACCCACCGACCGACCGACCGATCGACCGACCGATCGACCGACCAACCGATCGACCAACCGACCGACCAACCGACCGACCAACCGATCGACCAACCGACCGACCAACCGACCGACCAACCGATCGACCAACCGACCGACCAACCGACCGACCAACCGATCGACCAACCGACCGACCAACCGATCGACCAACCGACCGACCAACCGACCGACCAACCGACCGACCATAGACCGACCAACCGACCGACCAACCGATCGACCAACCGACCGACCAACCGACCGACCAACCGATCGACCAACCGACCGACCAACCGACCGACCAACCGATCGACCAACCGACCGACCAACCGATCGACCATAGACCGACCAACCGACCGACCAACCGATCGACCAACCGACCGACCAACCGATCGACCTACCGACCGACCTACCGACCGACCAACCGACCGACCAACCGATCGACCAACCGACCGACCAACCGACCGACCAACCGATCGACCTACCGACCGACCTACCGACCGACCAACCGACCGACCAACCGATCGACCAACCGACCGACCAACCGACCGACCAACCGACCGACCATAGACCGACCAACCGACCGACCAACCGATCGACCAACCGACCGACCAACCGACCGACCAACCGATCGACCAACCGACCGACCAACCGACCGACCAACCGACCGACCAACTGTTGCACAAGCATTGCCTTGATATTGACCAATATGTCATTGAATAAATATGCCAAGGAGCTCGATGAGGAGCTCGATGGCGCAGGTGGTTAGCGCATTCGTCTGCGATGGTTGAAGTTAAGCAACTTTCGCAGTGGTCGGTCATTGGATGGGTGACCAAAAAGTTTACTATGTCGAGATCCTTCTTGCTTCAAAAGGCACGTTAAATAGTTGGCCCCGGCTACATCTGCAGTCGTTAGCACCCGCCAATCCGCACTGGGCCCGCGTGGTGGGTCATGGCCCAATCTCCCTATTCCATCCATAGGGAAGGCCTGTGCCCCAGCAGTAGGGACATTAATAGGCTGATGATGATGATGAAATATGCCAAAATAATTAAAAAAGGCCATCTGTTTTCGCGGTTGGTCTCCATTCACACTGAACATGAGGTGGAGTCGGTTAATGAATAATTTATTAATACCAATGTTATTTATACCCGCTCAACCGCTGCTTCCAATTAACATTGTTTGTTGCAGGTCAGACATATACTCGTTTTTGATGTAGGCTCCCCAGGTTTGATATAGGCATCCGCGTCAGACGGCACGGACGGAGCCTACTCGTCTCTGCCACACGGAGCAAGGATTGCCCCTGAATAATAAAACGGCGACAGATTACGCTCCACGACGCGGCGGCACTCGGAAGCTACCACAGACATAGATCGCATGGAAACCGCAAGTGTACCATCAAAAGGGTGACCATTTGTCCACCTTTAACGCCATTTTATTTCTTCGCGTCACCGCTTTCGGCACTGAAAGCTGACCCAATTTAAAAAAAATCAATTTTTTAAACAAGTTGCAACAAATTCATCCACTCGACCTGATGCTAAGTGTAAGTGGAGTCCAGACGCGAAGATAGATGATGCGGAAGAAGATGTGCCGCTCCAACTTTCCTCACCTTGCCGGCCTGAACCCTGCGGAGCCCTGGAACCCTCACACCACCAGGAACACAACACCACCAAATGGTAGAGTTATTTTACTTCTGTAGGGTAGAGGTTGCTTCTGGACGGACGCTCCAATTCGAGGAGAAACCACGCTGTGCCCTGCCTCTCTTAAAATTGTGGCAAATTTAGCTGTAGAAAAAGCAAAAACGCTGTGAAACGGGTGTCCGAGATTCATGCTATATAATTCTCGAATTAAAATGACAGTTGAATTACATCGTCATCCACTTAAACCTAGATCTGTGTTTGCTGCGCTCTTCGGGGAAATAACCGGGGCTTAACTCACTGCTGCAGACGCAGGCAATGATCTAAATTCGCAAGACTACGTCACAGAGGAAAATGTATCAAATGGAATAAGAAAACCGGCCGATTGTGTCTTACGCCATGTGCAATGTAGTTGCTTATCATCATCAGCCTATTAATGTCCCCACTGCTGGGACACAGGCCTTCCCTATGGATGGAATAGGGTAATTGGGCCATGATCCACCACGCGGGCCCAAATCAAAAGAGTGTACTTTAACTTTTTTGAACTTTTGACTGATGTTCAATATTTTAAATACTTAAGTAATCAAATTAGTTATTATAAACCAAAGAATATCTTAAGATATTATATTATACGAATTAGATTTATTAATGACTAAAGCAAAGAAAAAACTTACAAGTCATAACGATAATATAAAATATTAACTGATCAAATTAATAAATAGTGCGTGTATAATTACTAAGGAATCCTCAAAAGGATTATTGCCAATCAAAACTATGATACCCATGATTTCTAGGGAATATAAATTATATTATCGGAAAATGAATATTCTCGAAGGCAATCTCAGTAAATATCCAATATTCTCGAAAATGGCACAACATTAGATTCCCGGAATAATTCTCCCTATTTAATAGTAGTGAACTCTTTTAATGTAGACGCACGTAAATTATTCAGGAAAAGGCTTGTATTAAAAAAAAATTAACCATTTCAAATATCCTCCGTTTTACCTAAAAAATGGTACCGGCCATTTTAATGGTCACCGAGTGCCAGCAACGACTCTCCAGTCTGGAGTATCGCCCACTCGGCTCGTCAAATGACAGCGACTGGTACAGAACGAGATTTTTTGAAGTTATACTTCTTTAGGCGCGTTATGAAAAAATGATGAGAGTGAAATTTTAAGATGCGCGCGCATCACTGTAACACAAAATTTTAACACCATGAAGTTGGTCGCTTTAGCGACCAACTTCATGCGTTACTTTTGTGTTTACCGCACATCAAGAAAATCTACCAACAAAATAGAAATAGAATCACTATTTGGTGGGTGCTAACGACTGCTTTGTGAAGGCCTATCAAAAGTATTTATTCATCTGGAACAACGGAACCAAAGCGCGATTCAGGAGACTACAGCGCCATCTCTTGACCATTGGTGTAGTAGAACCAAAAACCACATCTTTATTTTTTGTAATAAAGTAACAGTTATAGGTATTCATATTTATAATATCAAAAGTATTTATTAATCTGGAACAACGGAACCAAAGCGCGATTCAGGAGACTACAGCGCCATCTCTTGACCATTGGTGTAGTAGAACAAAAAACCACATCTTTATTTTTTGTAATAAAGTAACAGTTATAGGTATATATTATAATATTTATCCACATGTTTCTAGTTTGTATATTCGGAATACGTGTTTGAGTTTCATACAAGTGCAAATCACATATGTTCTAATAAATTATATTCAGTAGCGATTTTAATTGAATATTTTGATTATTTATTTATTTTTTCAAATTAAAACTGAACTTTATTGACTGTGTCCTTTTTCAGACTTTTTATTAATTTATTGTAATTAATTATTTGCATGCAATTAAAAACTAATTTTAAACGATGCCAAAGAAGGATAACTTCTCACGCGCCTACATAAGTACACGCACCCATTTTTTTTTATGTTAAAATGGTGGCATACAATCTTATGACCTGCATGATGGTAAGCGGGCACCATAGCCTACAGACACATGCGATACAAAAAAAAATCACTCTCACCAAAACAAAAACCCGACTGCTTAAAATTACTCTAGCAAGAAACTGAAAAGAAAAGAAAAACAAGTGTACTAAATAAAATAAAATGAAAAAAACTGTTTTACTAAATTGGAATGCTGCTTTATTCACCGAACGCCGAAGACAGAGAGAGCTAATGTTGCGAGCACTGGCTACTTAAAAATAACAGTAAATTAAGTGAAATTGCTATCAACTACTTACTAAAAACAACAAGTCCAGTAGTAAACATTTCTATTAATTAAGGAACAAAGCTACTTTAACTGTCGGGACTCATTAGATATTCAAGAATAGATTTTTTTCATTAATGGGTCCCGACTGTTAAAATTGCTGAGTTCCTTACTTAATAGAATTTTATATTACTAGACTTGCTTTTTCTTCTTTTCGGTTTATAAGGATATTAAGACAAGATTAAAGAGGATTATAAGATAATAATTATCGCAGTCTAGTCGTTTTATTATATTGGATAAAATTTGGTGCGCATATTGCTTATGACAAAATAATTGAATTATCTGGGAAAACAATGTTTGATCTTGGTTTGCCCGCACCACAACGAAGGGTAGAAATGAGCTCTCTAGCAACAATGTAAGCTGATTGTGTGGGATGAGTGCAATATGCACCATAAGCGCGCTTGCACCGGAGCTTGCAAGACATCCTTGGCAGGCAACCAAGCTCTGACGGAAGGTGTTGTAGTTTTACTCGCTGGTGATTTGAGGCAGACACTACCCGTTATGGAGAGGGGTACACCGGCAGACGAGATGATTGCATGACCTTGAATGGAATATGCATGTCAAACTTTTTACTGACTTGGAATCAGGAGCCTATAATGGTAAATGGAACGATTCAAATAAGAATAGGAACGCCAATGACCTCCATCTGCCGAATGTCGCTTGAAAAGTACGGTTTGCAAAAAAAATCTCGGAACACTTTTTTAGCACTCAGCTGATTCTAGAATAAAACTAAACCTTTTTAAAAAAACAATAACTAATGTTGATAATTAATATAAGCTGATTTCTTTTTTCATTTATTGAGCTTTGGCTATACAAATATGCACCTAAATCGTCAACCAAATGTCACTTTATGTTGCGTTCAGAAACTCGAATTAAAACTTTCGTTTACATATAGAATGCATGTTCGTATGTGACCTGCATGATTATTCATAACTTTTCCATCGGTAATGCAGAGATAAGCGAAATTGAAGAGCTAGATTTATAAAGACTTACACAGTCTTAATAAAGAAATATTATTAAAATTCGGTTGTGTTTTTTCTCAACCTTAGTAAATTAATTTTATTGAAAAATCTCATGTTTTGTCTCACTTAATCTTAGTAAATAAGTTTTATTATATAGCAACATTTTTTTGCTCACTCTACCTATTTAGTTTTTAGAATTGACAGCTATGACGTCAAAATATGGCGCCCAGTGGGTCCTATTCTTAGTTGAATCGCATTATATGCAACTAAGCTATTGTATATAGGAGAGGGCCGACTAAAAACTAAAGTTGACAGTAAAATTGAATGTACCAAATACTTTCTTGATCCAGTGACGACTGAGGATAAACTTATTTTGTAACTTTTCCAAACTTAAAGATCAACATAAAAAACTAAGAATGGCGATTTTTATTAGTCATACGTTTTAACAACTTCTGTTACACTTTTGAAGTTAACGCGGATAAAGTCGCAGGTGGGAGCTAGTTTTATAAATACCTATATATTAAAAGTAAAAATCTATTAGTAGTTCAAACCGTATATGTTGACTTTTTTGATGAGTATATTTATGAACATTTACAACATGATCATTGATTCTAGACAGCCATCCAGTAAAAAAAAACACTTATTTATTTCACTCTCTTTATTAACTGGTTGCCGCCGGCGATCGTAAAGTGTGACTAATCAAATTTAACAATTGGTGTTGCCAGTAATAATTTATATGTTTGTACCAAACAATCATGTTCATTTACTTTTTCTTCTTGTATACAAAACCGGTTTCAAAACGCTTCTTAGCTAGCACGAAAACAATGTATGGTAGGTTATAAAAGAGCACAATGAAGCATCTCTTTTCCGTCGCCCATTTTGATGCAACAATTGGCAAAGTGTCGGGGGCGCGATTGGTTGCGCTCGCGGCTGTTGTAGCACTCGCGTGATTGTGGCTCATGACGGCTCGACTCACATCTACGGCAGGATATTGTGGCCTATGCTGGGGTGCGTGTTTCCATTGCAAGAGTTTTGCAGAGAGAAATAAAAAAATATGCCTTCAAGTTCCTTTAAGCATGAAATGTGTAAGGGGCATACCAGCTCATTCGTTTTATACAGAACTTGTATGGTCAGAAGCTACCCAAAACCGCCAATATTTTTTTCTGTTTTTGATAAAGACGTAAAACGCCTTCAATGAACAGATAATTAAGAATAACATGTGTAGATAAATAATATTTTACTTAACTACCTATATAATTATAAGAATATTTCCAGCAGTTCTGGTTGAATAGTAATTTAGGAAAACTGAAAAGGATGTCTTGCCTCATGTCTTCCGCTCTGAAATAAACGCACTTACAATCTCACGTTTTTTTGTGTATTTTTACGTAGTTCTCAATTAGAAATTTGTTAAATGAGCGAATAAATTCAATATCTATATACATATATATAAAACTCAAAGGTGACTGACTGACATAGTGATCTATCAACGCACAGCCTAAACCACGGGACGGATCGGGCTAAAATTTGGCATGCAGGTAGATGTTATGACGTAGGCATCCGCTAAGAAAGGATTTTGATCAATTCTATCCCCAAGTGGATAAAATAGGGAATGAAAATTTGTATGAAACTTTGTCAATTTTAAACCGATCGGGCTGAGACTTTGCATGCAGGTATAAGAAAAATCATAGATGAATGTCATTGTGTATAAAACAAGCCTGAGATAAAAAACTGTAGTCTACACTTCAGCTTTACACCGAAGCGAAGCGAGGGCGTACTAGTAAGTTATAATTGAAGTTTCCGACTCTTGGAATCAAGAATCTGCTAACGGATCCTATAATGGGAACAAAACAACAATTAACCTTTATTATCTCAAGGTCCTGTGTTGTCTGCAAATATTTACTGTAATCAAGGAGTACGCGGAGATGCGACTCTAATGCTTGTTTATTCAACAAACGTTTATCCTCATGCGGAAGTCGGAACGATTTACGTGAAATATTGTTAGGTTTACTATTAAGAGAAGTTAATTTGGTGCAATACAAATATAAATATACTAGCTGACCCAGCGAACTTCGTACCGCCCTAAAAAAAAAGGGGTTGTCCAGCGGACAAAATTGTGAATCTAAACCATTCTCAGATCCCCTTGAACACACACAAAAAATTTCATCAAAATCGGTCCAGTCGTTTAAGAGAAGTTCAGTGACATACACACTCACAGAAGAATTATATATATAAAGATTTATTAAAATTTACATCATACAGTCAGCTTATAACCATGGGTCCCACATTAGGAGGTCCTGTATCGTGCGCACCCAATGAATGTAAAAAAAAATATTGCAACAGATGAAAAGAAAAATTACAGAATACAGAAACTAACTTTTCAACTACGTTATAAAGTAATAAAGTGTATGTATGTGTGTGTGTGTGCTTGTCTGTATGCATGTAGGACGGTGAGAGACAAGGACTTCAGGTAATGCTATCCCAGTCGTTTAAGCAGGTTTTCGGTTTGCATGTAAGTCATGGACAGTAACCTTGAGTTGATAGTGCGCTTTGCCCGTTTCGTGTTAAGTTCTCTGATATTACACAGTTTTGTCACGGTAATAATATCATACAGTATTCTATCTTCATACAAACGGTCGGAAAGCGAGTCATACCTACGCCACTCGAGTTCGATGTGCTCTCGGCGGGCACCCAGTCGCGAATGCGCCGCCGCGCCGCAACGACGACCGAACGGTGTGAATTGTTTTTTATGCAGTTAGCCGTGCTTAAACGTGCGTTTTGTATTGTAAATATTTGATTGAATTAAGTAGATACCTACATAATTTAGTATGGAAAAGAACAAACGACGATCAATATCGTACAACAGCATAATTGATGTTTTTGGTTGCTTGAACTCTTCAATAACACACCCAGAGATATCATTTTTTAAATTACCTGAAATATTGGAAAGGTGTCTTACCTTTATAGAATATTTTTTGAAGTTATACTTCTTTAGGCGTGTTATGAAAAAATGATGAGAGTGAAATTTTAAGATGCGCGCACATCACTGTAACACAAAATTTTAACAGCATGAAGTTGGTCGCTTTAGCGACCAACTTCATGCGTTACTTTTGTGTTTACCGCACATTAAGAAAATCTACCAACAAAATAGAAATAGAATCTCTATTTAGTGGGTGCTAACGACTGCATTGTGAAGGCCTATCAAAAGTATTTATTAATCTGGAACAACGGAACCAAAGCGCGATTCAGGAGACTACAGCGCCATCTCTTGACCATTGGTGTAGTAGAACCAAAAAACACATCTTTATTTTTTGTAATAAAGTAACAGTTATAGGTATTCATATTTATAATATTTATCCACATGTTTCTAGTTTGTATATTCGGAAAACGTGTTTGAGTTTCATACAAGTGCAAATCACATATGTTCTAATAAATTATATGCAGTAGCGATTTTAATTGAATATTTTGATTATTTATTTATTTTTTCAAATTAAAAATGAACTTTATTGACTGTGTCCTTTTCCAGACTTTTTATTAATTTATTGTAATTAATTATTTGCATGCAATTAAAAACTAATTTTAAACGATGCCAAAGAAGGATAACTTCTCACGCGCCTACATAAGTACACGCACCCATTTTTTTTTATACCTATCTACTAGTACGTAATTTGTTTCTAATATTTAGGTATTTCCCGGTACCGGGAAACGCAGTGTTGGCAGGCCCCCCACAAGGTGGACTGACGATCTCGTAAAGGTCGCGGGAAGCCGCTGGATGCGGGCAGCATGGGACCGATCGTTGTGGAAATCCATAGGGGAGGCCTATGTCCAACAGTGGACGTCTTTCGGCTGAAATGATGATGATGATTTAGGTATTTTGATTTTTCCATCGGGCAAAATATCTGGAATAATATATAAATAAGTGGTTAGGATGAAAAAAGAGACAAACGAGTAATCTACCTACACTCGCGGTAAAAACAAAACTACCTAAAATACTGTAGGCGGGCGGCCCTACCGCGTGCTAACGCAGCGCTCGGCCGTAGGCATTTATTTCAAGGACAGGGCGGAGTCACAATACTGTATAGATAATATTACCGTGGTTTTGTTACCTTATTATAGATATACGGAAACATAAATTTTGGCAGGCGACGCGCGAAAGTTGTTCGTACAACAACTGTGGGCACCATAAATACTCTCTTCTGAATCAGGGTAGTGTTGAGTACACGATAACAGCGCGATGCATTTTAAAGCCTCCATAAGAATGTATAATTGGCACACGCTCAAAACTTGAGTTTCAGAAAAAAGTGCTTTAGTAGGGAAAAGGTAAGGTTTGCAACACATAGTTTTGTAGGAAGGCCAAAGGGGAAGATCTTCCTCTGACCTGGGTGATGTTAGCTCGGGGGCCGCGGCCCGACTGATATTAGTCGAGCATCGTATATATGAAGAGTTAGCCTCCGAATTTCATTTGCGCGATGTAGGCTTCCATACTATTAAGATCGCAGTGCAGGTAACGCCATCTCTTGAGGATGGTGAGTAATGATTTCCTCCATCCGTTGTATATATGTGGGGCATATAGATGTCGCC